TCACCACCGTCACCACACTATCACCAGGACCTGCTCTTACTGTAAATGTCAACACCGGTGGCCGAAAATATTGCGGTTGATGTATGGCCCTTGTGGAATTTTCAATTAGCTGTACCGAGACAGACAGGGCGACGGCAACTGAGAGTCAGAGGGAGGAAAAAGGGGAGGGGAAGGGAGGAAGGACAGAGAGAGAGAGAGAAGATGGGCGGTCGGGTAGGTGTGTGTGTGTGTGTGTCGCTCGTGCTACCATCGTGAAGTACAACACACCAGGTAGGAAGGTCGTACACCGCGGGTCTTTAATGAATACAACACATCATGGCAGGATTGATGTGGTAGGGGGCCGCTCCGGGAGTCCTACAAATCAGGATCATGTAAGATTGATCGAGGGTGGTGTTCATTACCTACCTGGGGGGGTTGCTGGTGGTTGTGGTGGGGATGGAGCGGGCGGTGGGGAGGATCTGATGGTGGTTGTTGGGGGTAGGTAGATAGATGGTGATGGAGAAGGTGGTGGTCGGTGACGGAGCAGGTGGTGGTCGGTGACGGAGCAGGTGGTGGTCGGTGACGGAGCAGGTGGTGGTCGGTGACGGAGCAGGTGGTGGTCGGTGACGGAGCAGGTGGTGACAGATGGTGGTGGGTTGGGCAAGTGGCAGGGCAGGTGGTAAGGCGGGCATCGTGAGGTGCAGGAATACACAAGTGTGCCCAGCACCTGTCTTCCGGGCAAATATGTGTGCGTTCACTGGTCAAGGTCACACCTGACAGAGGCGTCGCTAAAGCTGTACCCGCACCACCACTACACTACAGTACTGTAGGAGAGTAACAATAAATACAGTTCTCTATTGGTGTTCTGTAATTTATGTATTGTTTAAGTAAGCTGTAAATAAGTAACTGTTATTACCTTTGTTACTGTGTCGCCACCTGTACTTATTATATCTAATATTCCCGAGTCAGATTCAAACATCCTCCAGTGAGACTCACTGGGCTGACTCGACGCACCCATAAATATTTTAGTGTAGTTAACTAAACTGCGGTCCATATTACTGATCCCGTGATCTTTTAAACCTTGACCTTTATACCACCTTGTGAACAACTCGACTCGGGTACGCCACAGTTAGTGTTATATACTGGTGGTGAACTTGTTGATACCTTACAGTTTGGGTCATAAATACTGGAGAACTCATTACTGTTTCCTGCCCTAGTGTGTGATTGACTCCTGATCCCTGACCTAAGACACCACTAATGGGAGCTGTTGACATTATTATTACTGGTTTATATTTTGTGACAGGCATTGTTACTAATAGTCGTATATATATATATATATATATATATATATATATATATATATATATATATATATATATGGACAGAAGGGTGCGTCATAAGGGCAGAAAGATGCGTTATAAGAGCAGAAGGATGACCCTTAAAAGGCAGAAGGGTGCGTTATAAGAGCAGAAGGATGACCCTTAAAAGGCAGAAGGGTGCGTCTTAAAGGGCAGAAGGGTGTGTCGTAAAGGGCAGAGGGGTGTGTAAGGTGGAGGAGGGAGGCAGGTGGTAGGCAGAAGGGTTTAACCGTCTCCTCGTGTCCATTTAACGTGGGCCAAGACTGTGGTGGTGGTGGGGGGGAGCAGCTGCTGTCTCGTCTCGATGGCCCCAAGGATAACCGCCTTCCTACTCTCCCTCACCATTAATCATGTTAAAACAAATTATTAAATCCTATAAAGTTAACATATACCTGTATGTATAGCAGTGGTGTAACATTGGGTGCTTCCCGTGGCGTGAATTATGATGTAAACACGAAAAAAGTCAAGCTTGGGTGTCTCCCTACGCCTGACATCTGCTCTTTACCGCGTTCGTTATTTACCTCACTGTATGATGTCTCTCCCGCTCGTTACCTCACCCTCACTCCTCGTCACTGTAGTACCCGTATTTTAGCGTTGGTGTTGAGGTTATCTGTAGGTGACATTGATCGAGGAGTTACTGTCACGTACTCAAACAACAGAGGTTGTTCCTTTAAGCGAGGTTTGATTGTTTCATCGGTATCCAAGGGGGCGACGCTGCAGCTGCTGGTTTTTCTTTGTTATTAATTATTAATGTATTGGTTTAAGCTCGTGACTGGTGTATAGTATTATGTTCATCGATTGGTTAACAGACCAGGAGTACAGAGAGTATATAGGTAGAGGGTGTTGACGGTGTCAGCTGGCAGCAGCGTGGTGTTGTTGTTGACAAAAACAGGCGTGGCAGTTATCGTACAGTGCAGGGAGCAGCTGCCACCCAGTCTGGGACAGCTGATTGGCCGCCGGGGGCCCGGATGATACTCACTGATTTCTAAATTTTTTTCCTATAAATATGGGATAGAAGAACCTATATGGCTGACTGACTTGAAATACGAATTGAGACGATAAATTATGTATACATTACACATAACTATGACAGAACTAGATGTGGTCTCGTCTCACCCGGGGACAAATCTTAGTAAATCATGACCCATATTACACTCCACCCTTTATTAAATCTCCCATATACGGAAACTTTATTTTTTCTAAGCCTGACCAGGAATTGGTAGTGTGTCATGCCAGCAGTGAACGGTAGTGCACTCACCTGTGTAAAAACGTGGCGTATTCAAGCTCTCGTGCACAGCGGGAGGTAGAATACATTGTGTTTTACACCGGCTTCCACAGTTTAGATCTTTGATTCACCGTATTCAAAATATGTTCAGGAGGCACGTGGAGGCGGGAGGGAATGCTGTGTGGAAGAATTTTAATTATAACGATAACATTCGTATTTGTACAAATTTGGTGCACTTCACACGATATTACAGGGAGATTAGAATGTTAAAGCCAATGTAAAGAAGAGGAAAATTATGTGGGTGGTCGTTTACCGTTATCATTGTTGTGTTTTATAGGCTACAGCTTCCAGTGTTATCAAGTACCGTTCGTCTAGGCTTCAGAAGCACCCGCGTCTAGTACAGTCTCTCTGGCCACCATTGTTGTTTTTACTTTTTCAGTAGGTGAAGGAACTGTAATGGTTAGGAAGCATTGTTCACTTGGCTTGTAATTTACAGTTTACAGTTACTGAAAAGATTTTGTCTGGCTGAATACTTATTGGAAAGATTTAGACTTTTTAGACTTGACTTGGTGGTGAGGAGGCAACAGAGTGGCGTGTGTCATGTTGATTGGCGAACCTTGTGTCTTACCTCATACCACACGCCTCTGCCTGGAGTATTGGAAAGCTGCTGAAAGACAAGCCCGCGTCTTAACTCCACTGGCTGGCTTATATTACTACACAGCCGTTAAGACATATAGATCCATGTTGGACGTTTACTAAGCTCTCTGAAATCTGGAGGGAGTTACGTACTGTACATCCAAAACATAGGTAATATACATAATGTTCTGTATATCATAATACTTCACACTATAAGTCTTAAAGGTGGAAGACCCAGGAAAGTGTCACAGCGGACGTGGTGACAGTTATATACAGAAAGTAGTAACTGATATTGTGTGTGTGTGTGTGTGTGTGTGTAACCTAATCAAGGGATCGGTGTCAACACGAGAAGTTAGCAGTCTTCATCTACCTGTACAGTGTGTTGGTAATCCGTTGTTTGTTGTGGGGGTCGACTGACTGGCTGGCTGGGTCTTCCTTCCTTCCATTGTTTATCTTGTGCTTCTTCTCTTGTTATTCTTACCTCTTTCATCTTCTCAAGTTTCATCTCTCTATTTTGGTTTTCCTTTCTCTCCACTTCCAAAAAAAAAAGACTGATGACGATAATGACACAAACTACTGATGAATTATTATGTTTGTCGTGGTGGGTGTGATACGTACACACACACACACACACACACACACACACACACACACACGCACACACACACACAGAAAAAAACATGTATCAAGAATCCACAGTCCGGGGGCGACAGGGAACAGCGCAGCAAGAAAAGGATATTTGTGTTGTTCTTTTTGTTTCGTTGTTTTTGCCAGTGACAGTGTCCCCGGCGGCCACCACCACGGACAAGTGCTGCAGGGTGTCCTCTTAGTGGTGTTTATGTCCCACCAACCCATGGCTGAAATATGTGAATTGACACCATGATTACAAGGACTTAACCCCTTGAGTACAGTGATTTAAACCGTTGAGTACAGTGATTTTACTCGTTGGGTACAGTGATTTAACTCGAGTATAGTGATTTATCCCTTTGAGTATAGTGATTTAACTCGTTGACTAGTGTGATTTAACTCGTTGACTACCGTGATTTAACTCTTTGACTACAGTGATTTAACTCGTTGACCACAGTGATTTAACTCGTTGAGTACAGTGATTTAACCCCTTGAGTACAGTGATTTAACCCCTTGAGTACAGTGATTTAACCCCTTGAGTACAGTGATTTAACTCGTTGACCACAGTGATTTAACTCGTTGAGTACAGTGATTTAACTCGTTGAGTACAGTGATTTAACCCCTTGAGTACAGTGATTTAACCCCTTGAGTACAGTGATTTAACCCCTTGAGTACAGTGATTTAACTCGTTGACCACAGTGATTTAACTCGTTGAGTACAGTGATTTAACTCGTTGAGTACAGTGATTTAACATCTTGTGTACATTGATTTAACCCCTTGAGTACATTGACTTAACCCTTTGAGTACATTGACAACTCATTGAGCACAATGGTTTAGGAATATGAAAGTTATATGATAATAATAATAATTATAATAATAATAATAATAATATTATTATTGTTATTATTATTATTATAATTATTATTATTATTATTGTATTAATTATTATTATTAGTAGTAGTAGTATTGGTGTGTGTTTGGTACTTTGGGGAGAGTATTGGCATGTTTTGGTATCTTGGGGAGGTCGGTACTAGTAGTACTAGTATCATCATTATCACAATTATTGTTGTTAGTACTATCAATAATATGACATTTCCTTTATGTTATCACTAAACACTGTCGTCTCTTCCCCCACAGTGGTGTGTGAGGAGAGTGGCCCCGTGATCGCCGAAGAACCCGAGAACCGTGTAGACTTCAGCAACTCCACCGGCGCCAACATCCACTGCTCTGTACGCGGCCACCCCAAACCCACCGTCGTCTGGGTCCGTGCTGAAGATGGTACTGCTATTGGTGATGTTCCCGGCCTTAGGAAGGTGAGTAAGCGGGTAGTGTTTGGTACTTTGGGGAGAGTATTGGTGAGTGTTTGGTAGTTTGGGGAGAGTATTGGTGAGTGTTTGGTACTTTGGGGAGAGTATTGGTGAGTGTTTGGTACTTTGGGGAGAGTATTGGTGAGTGTTTGGTACTTTGGGGAGAGTATTGGTGAGTGTTTGGTACTTTGGGGAGAGTATTGGTGAGTGTTTGGTACTTTGGGGAGAGTTGGTAGTGGTGGTACTTTGGGGAGTGTTGTTTGGTACTTTGTATTGGTGAGTGTTTGGTACTTTGGGGAGAGTATTGGTGAGTGTGTTTTGGTAGAGTATTGGTGAGTGTTTGGTACTTTAGGGAGAGTATGAGTGTTTGGTACTTTGGGGAGAGTATTGGTGAGTGTTTGGTACTTTGGGAGTATTGGTGAGTATTAGTGAGTGTTTGGTACTTTGGGAGAGTATATTGGTGAGTGTTTGGTACTTTGGGAGGTACCGGTATTAATTAAGAGGTAGGTACTGTCAGAAGGTCGGTACCTAAGGAAGAGTACAGGTAGATGAAGAGTACACGTAGGGAAGAGTACAGGTAGAGAAGAGTACAGGTACAGGTAGAGGGAAGCGTACAGGTAGGAAGAGTACAGGTAGTACAGGTAGGGGGTACAGGTGGTACAGGTGTACAGGTAGGGAAGAGTACAGGTACAGGTGGTACAGTACAGGTAGGGAGTACAGGTAGAGGGAAAGAGTACAGGTGAAGAGTACAGGTAGGGAAGAGTACAGGTAGGGGAGAGTACAGGGGGGGAGGGGAACAGGTGGGGGAGTACAGGTGGGGAGGTACAGGTGGGGGAAGGTACAGGTGGGGAAGGTGCAGGTGGGGGAAGGTACAGGTGGGGAGAGGTGCAGGTGGGGGAAGGTGGGTGCAGGGGAAGTGCAGGTGGGGGAGGTACAGGTGGGGAGGTACAGGGGAAGGTGCAGGTGGGGGACAGGTGGGGAGTGCAGGTGGGGAGGTACAGGTGGAGGGGAGAGTACAGGTGGGGAGAGGCAGGTGGGGAGGAGGTGGTGGGGACAGGTGCAGGTGCAGGTGGGAAGTGCAGGTACAGGTAAGAGTACAGGTAGGGAGAGCAGGTAGGGGAAGAGTGGGTACAGGGGAAGAGTACAGGTGGGGAAGAGTACTGGGGGAAGAGTACAGGTAGGGAAGGTACAGTGCACAGGTACAGGTACCAGGTGGGAACAGTAACACTCCCCCATCACCCTCCTCATCCCTCCCTCACCTCTCACCTCCCCTCCCACCCCTCACCCCCCACCCACCTCCCCACCTCACCCCCTCACCTCCTCACCCCTCACTTCCCTCACCCCTTCACCTCCCACCTCCCTCACCCCTCACCCCTCCAATAACACTCCCTCACCTCCCTCACCTCCCTCACCTTCCTCACCCCACCCCCACCTCTCACCTCCCTCCCCCTCACCTCCCTCACCCTCACCTCCCTCACCCCCTCACCTCCCCCTCCACCCCTCACCTCCCTCCCTCACCCCTCACCCCCTCTCCCACCCCACCCCCACCCCACCCCTCACCTCACCTCCCCCCACCTCACCCCTCACCCCCCCCCTCCCCCCACCCCTCCCACACACCCCCCACCCCCACCCCTCCTCACCCCCCTCCTCCTCACCCTCCACCTCCCTCCCTCACCTCCCACCCCCACCTCCCCCCCCCCCCTCCCCCTCACCCCTCACCCCCTCACCCCACCTCCCCTCACCCCTCCCCCCCCACCCCCCCCACCCCCCCCTCACTCACCCCCACCCCTCCCCCACCCCTCACCTCCCCCACCCCTCACCCCACCCTCACCCCTCACCTCCCTCCCCACCCCTCACCCCTCACCCCTCACCCCCCTGATTCCATTCACAGTGCCATGTTCTCCAGGTAACTACAGTGTGGGTGACAGGGAGCTATATAAACATTTCCTGTCATATATGTCTGTGTCGTTGTGTTTTATCATGTAAACAAAGTGTGTGCTGCCCTGCCAGAGACCACTCTTGTAGGCGGTTGCTTCAGTGCATTATCATCTCTCTCTCTCTCTCTCTCTCTCTCTCTCTCTCTCTCTCTCTCATCAACACCCCTTACCTCTCTTCTTTTCTCTCTCTTTCATCAGGTTTTGGCAAATGGCACTCTTATGTTCCCTCCTTCCGCGCTGAAGACTACCGCCAGGAGTCCGCCCAGGTCTACCGCTGCCAGGCTACCAACCCTCACGGCACCGTTCACTCCAGGGATGTCCACGTCAGGGCAGGTAAGGTGTCTTCTCCTGTACCTGGTGGAGGGGGAGGGAGGTGTCCTGATGCTGTGTGTGAGAGAGAGAGAGAGAGAGAGAGAGAGAGAGAGAGAGAGAGAGAGAGAGCACCAGGACACCAGGAGGGAAGGGCAGTAATACCAGGATAACGTTGATGTCATCACACACACACACACACACACACACACACACACACACACACACACACACTCACTTGTTGGTGAGGCCTCGTCAGTTGTTGTGTGTGTGTGTAATGAGAGAGAGAGATGTCAACTGGTTCCTGTACATCAATTGCTGACAGTCAGCAGATCACCTGCCTCACCCAAGTGTCAGCCAAGAGTTTGTTTACCTTCAGTCCCAGCCAGACAAGACACCTGTCCTCAAACATCGCCTGCACGAGACACCTGTAATTAAATATCAATCTTTACCTAACTAATAATTTTGATAACACGAGGATAAATACATAAGATTTAAAATTAATTATAAATGAAAAAGATTGTTGGATATGGTTCCGTGACACTGGGTGGTGGTGGGTCACGCTGGGCAGGTACCATCCACCGTGGTCCTCTTGTGGTTCTCTGAGGAATAATAAAGAGCTTTTTTTCTTCACTACTCACATAATTAAGGGAGGATCATGTTAATGCTTCATATACAGTTGACGGTGTGTACCTGGGTCTAGTTACATACATATATCTTTACGTTGTCTAGTTAAGGTAGAGTCTCAGTGTAGTTTTGTTGCCATGTTGGACGTCGTTTCTGTGGTGTAGGTGAGACCTGGCTAAGTTGTGTGCATTTTTATATCAACAACTACGAGGAAAATTCACTTGTACCCTGAAACTGGAGGCCAAAATGAGGTCGAAAATGCACTGAGACTATACTTAAAGATGTGTTGTATTATGTGTGGCGGGAAGAGACCAGACCAGGAAGGAGACTGTCTGTGGGTGGGTGGGTGAGTGGTGGGTGAGTGGGTGGTAGGTGGGTGGGTGAGTGGGTGGTGGTAGGCGGCGCCACAAACCATAAACGTTACCACACATTATTAAATCATCATTAATGCGACTTTAATCGTTGTGAGTTAAATGGTGGATGGTTCCTGCTGGGAGGCGGTGCTATTAACCCCTCTCCCCCTTGTGCTAGTTATCATTAAGGTCTATTATTGTTATCATTCTTTACTCTTAACTTAACCCCTTTAACCCTCTTAACCTCTTCAACTACGATGTCTTAGCCTTTTTAGTACGATAACCTATTCTCTCCCGATTATCGTAATATTGTACTCGGGAAGTTAGGTTATTGTACTCAAGGGGTGAAGTCATCGTACTCGGAGGGTTAAGTTATGGTACTCAAGGGTGTTAAGGTATATAGGTTACATACTCACTACGACCACACCTATTTTCTCCTCTTAATTGGTGGTTCATATTTATTATGTGTAGTAATATTTTGAAGGTATTTTTAGTGGGTGTTAATTATATAGATATTGTATATGATCATTATATCCCTCTTGGTGGGTGTTGGTATGGTAACACCTTCATTATATGGTATTTATGGTGGGTGTTGATCATTGTTGTGTCGGGTGTGTTCCTCATCATCATCTTCACTATCATACACCGATACTAACTCCAGGCTGTCAAAGGTAAGCTCACCATTCCCGGTATTAATATATGGACTTGTATCATTGTATCATTGTATCATCATCATCATCATCTTCCTCTCGACGGTGTTTATGTCTGTGTCTCTTACTCTGTGGCTGGTTTGTTTATCATCGTAAATTTGTACTACACATAAACTGTGACGTCACGACCTTAATATCACGATGTACACACCTGCGTCATAATACTCGACACTGAGGGAGTGTTCAGTCCGTGGTTGGTGCCTGAGAGCGAGGAGTCAGCGGCTGGTGTCTTGTTTATGTTAATAGTCACTTTCAGCTGCTGGAGAGACTCACCTGCGAGACACATGAACTGTTTTGTTTACCTTAATTGTGTACTTATACCTCTGGCGTCATTGTTCACACCTGGTGACTAGAATACAGCAGGTAGTGTGGTGCTGGTGTGTGTGGTGACGCTGCAGTGTGCATCAAGGAAGCTGGCGGCTGTGACGAGCGTCGCATCTCCATAACTTGAGTCATTTTCCAGAGTAGACTTGCGGAAACCCGGAGACGGAGGCGGCTGAGCACCACTCAACTAGAAGTGCTTCGTGTCTTCTTCAACCTTCTCCTTGTAGAGTTTTGTAGCCGCGTAGAGTTTTGTAGTCGTGTAGAGTTTTGTAGTCATGTAGATCCTCGCCTTTATACAACATTGTCAGGGTTTCCTCTCAAGACCAGACCTGCGCCCCCCCAGGGTGAGTACACAGGTCCGGGCCCTGGTCATGACGGTGCAGGCTGGCCGTATGGTGTATAGTAACATGTAGTAATACTTATGGTAGAGGAGGAGGATGATGAGTGTTGTTGGGCCACAGGAGGAGCGAGGCAGATGCTGGAGCTGATGGTTGGCATTATAAAGTTACTCGGTACTGTACCGTGTGTGGCGGGTCGTGGGGTGTGTTCATGTTGGCAGCACAGGAGCCTCGGTGCTCATGTATGTAGCCAACCCATGTGTGCCTTTACTGTACTGTGCTCCTTCCTGTCTTTTATACTGAGCATTTTGTTTTCCTCCTACTTGTTATTTATTTACAGCAGCTCCCGGCAGCAGAGAGTGACGCAGCAGATCAAAGCTCCTCCCTTGTCTTACAGGTTCAAAGTCCGGCGCATTTTTTTTTTCATTTAATGCTGTATGTAGATATTTACAGCAAGGAAGAAATATGTTAATTTTTCATCTCTGTATAAAGGTTGATCCTTGAGATACACATTTAAATTAGTATTGTACGGGAGGGAGGACAATAACAGTTAATAATAGTGATAACATTAAATAAGGGTTATAATGTGTTTACCTCAAGTTAATTGTGTGATAACTTTACCTGGGGTCGATGTTCAGTGGTGCACCAGTTCTACCAGACGGAGGTGAACAACGAGCACGTGATCAGGGGTAACTCGGCCATCCTCAAGTGCGTCATCCCCTCCTTCGTGGCCGATTTTGTCTCCGTGTCCTCCTGGGTCTCCGACGACGGGCAGTCCTTCATCCCTTCCCGTAGTTATGGTAAATCCTCGTCACCATCAACCCTCCGCCCCCAACGACACTTCCCATAACCAAACAATCTCTTCCAGGTGCACTAATAAGGTCGTTTTTCTTCCCTTATAGAATTACCTGGTGGTGGTGGTGGAGTCGCTTGTGTTATAAATATCATCTCTCTTTTAGATAATGATTGAATTTATATTTACAGGAATGTGTGTGTGGATGTTTTGATGAGCCTGCAGGGTTTTGTGTCATGGTGTGGAGAGGCGGTGGGGGTGTGGGGGTGTGGGGGTGACCAAGGCAGGTGTGGCGGGTGTAATATATGGGAGGTGGGGGAGAGGGGTAATTTATTTCAGTGGTGTCGAGGGGAGAACAGTGGTGATTTTAGCCAGGAATAACAAATACGCTTCTTCCTTCACAGTGACACATATGAAGTACCTCACAGTAACACATAGGTTGTCTCTTTTATAGTAACACATAAGCTGCCTCCCTTACAGTGACACATACTATGGACCATAACACACGTAGCAGTAACACATAAGCTGCCTCCCTCACAGTAACACAGTAGCACGTAACACACAACACACCTCCTCACAGTACACACACGTATCAGTAACACACACACACCCACCTCCCTCACAGTAACACACGTAACAGTAACACACAGTCCACCTCCCCCACAGTAACACACGTAGCAGTAACACACAGTCCACCAGTAACACAGTCCAACACTCAGTAACACACAGCCACCTCCCCCACAGTAACACACAGTCCACCTCCCTCACAGTAACACACAGCCAACCTCCCTCACAACACACAGTAAGTAACACCTCCACCTCACAGTAACACACAGTCCACCTCCCCCACAGTAACACACAGCTAACCTCCCCCACAGTAACACACGTAACAGTAACACACAGTCCACCTCCCTCACAGTAACACACAGTCCACCTCCCTCACAGTAACACAAAGCCAACCTCCCTCACAGTAACACACGTAGCAGTAACACACAGCCAACCTCCCCCACAGTAACACACGTAGCAGTAACACACAGTCCACCTCCCTCACAGTAACACCAGAGCGCGAGTGTATGTATACAGTAATACAGTATAAGTAACCCGAGCTGGACTCTCCTCTCAGTGGTCCATCAGCAGTACGAAACAGACGTAAACAAGGAACACGTCATCAGGGGCAACTCAGCCATCCTCAAGTGCGTTATTCCCTCCTTCGTGGCCGACTTCGTGAGTGTCACCTCCTGGGTTACTGACGGAGGTGACTCGTACTTCCACTCCCAGCACTACGGTAATGGCGGCTCGGTCACCGTCTTCTTCCTTCTTCTACATAACCCGGCACTAATATTTGGGATCTATTTCTTCAGCTGGATGGATGGACAGTGTGTGGGCCTCTCGTGAAAGCAGATCTTAATGTTATTTTATCTTTTCTCTCTCAGGACGGATGGTTGGAGTGGATGCAGACTTAATAATAATAATAATAATAATAATAAATTCTTTCAAGGTTCTTCCCGCCAAAATACAGTGACCGAAATCCAAAGTAAACAATGGCGCCCTCATCATTTTCAGTCATGTATTCATTCATAATAATAATAATAATAATAATAATAATCTATTTCACAAGGACACCAACATAAACATACCTAAAATCACGAAACAAAATAATAATATGTTGTGTGCGTAATGTTTTCCTCATTGCCTTCCCGCCTTTTATACTCTTCCGGCAGTAATGAATGCGCGTCCACTGTTTACAAACACACTTTAATTTAGTCCTTTCTCCCAGTTTTGTACTTTTCTTTTGCAGGAGTCATGGTTGAATAAACTTTCACTGTTGACGGGCGTTTTTAAAATTTGTTCTTTTGCTCTGTTTTGTGTCTGCCTTCTC